TGCTAAATTGGACTACTTGACATCGGTATCACTGAAATAATCAAATATGAAAATGAGAATTTGCTTCCTTGTTATCGTTTTTATCATCGAAGCCAATTAGTTGGAAATATTTTCCTAATGTTATGAAGCTTTAAAGTCCTATTGGCTCATTCATGAGAGTTCTTAAGGAAATATAAGTTCGAAAAAGTGACGATGTTGTCTGATGATTAGGTTTGTTAGTGAATCGATATTGGCATTTGAAGTGTTGTCTGGTGCATGATGAGCTCAATCCCTTTAAAGTTAAAGCGATTCTCATTTATCTGCTGCGAATCATATTTTAGTTGTCTTTGATTATCTTACTTCATTTGTCCTTACACGCCTAAAGATATGATCTCTGCTTTCAGGAGCTCCGAGAAGTCAATGGAGAAAAAGGAAACTGCAGAACAAGACTTGCTCTTGAAGGGACCAGGGACATTCCCCTTGGAAAGATTATTAGCCATATTTCAGTGTATTGTATCTGTTGAAGAATGCTTACCTGATGAAGAAGCACAAGAAGATGGTGGATTGGAAGGAGAGAGTTGGACTAATGGACTATTATCTGATGTTCTTTTGGAATTATCAAGTCTGTGCAATGCTAATTTTATCAGTAAAGGAGGAAGTTGCCCCTTGGAAGGCGCTAATCGGTATCGATCTATGGTGTCCGAAGATATGGCTCTTAAGGTAACTTTCAAAATCTTTTTCCTTATTGTTTTAAAGTACAAATGGCCATATTTTCAGAAGCCGTTCTTACTTCACCATTGTGGCTCGTCTTGTTTCTCAAATTCTGCAGGTTGCAAAGAGTCTAAAATTTCCTCTGGCAAAGTATTTATACAGAGGATGATATACAAGATGTTCCATTCGTGTAACGAAGCCACTCATGTTAATATGATTTTGCATGTCAAGCAAGAGCAGCATGATGCAGTCAACAAGGTGATGTCACCTAACCAACCTTTGTGGCAGGGTGAATGTACGACTAAGATTCTAGTTGTGTATCATTCTTTTTTGTATACTGAGTGGTGAGAGGCTAAGTGGAAGTTGATTGGGTGGACTCCATGAAGAACATTTAAATATTTTCAGCTATCGAAATAATTGACTAACATTGAACATATGACGATACGCAAGTGATTATTTGCTTTCTCTGAGTTTATAAGAATCTAGCTAGTCCGTTAGTTTACTGGCATTAAATGATTCAAGTTCGATTCCTTTTGAAATCTTTTTATTTGTTAAACATGATCACTTACATCTGCTGTAATTGGTGCTATAGAATGAAGTGTGTATATTTTGCTGGAAGGTAATTTTGTTGTCTTCCAACCTAACCCCTTGATGGCAACCCGATATTTCCTTTTTTGAATACTTCTCTAGAAGAATAGTTGAGGTGCGCACAACTCTTGGCTACAGTGCTGGCATCAAGAAGGTGCAAGGACGTCTGGAAATAGCTAGGTACGACTCTCTCTGGTTTGTTCAATGTGAATCTTAAAAATGCTCTGTTGATTTTGGAATATAAGGTTTCTCTCATGCTGCTCTATGGACTAAATAGAGGTCCTAAGAAAAGGTGGATGTTTTCACTTTTTTCATTATTGGGACGGTTTCATGGGACTCGGTATTACTTGATACTTTCTTATTACATGGAGTATATGTTGTTCCCTCTGGCATTTCCTGGGTGATACTGAGGCTATGTGGCTTGTACATGGCTGTAAGAGTCAATTCTGTCAATTTACGCTGCTAGTCTTAAAATTTAGTTCCTCTTCTCATGGCAAAGGTAATTTAAATGAGTAGTAAGTTAGTAACAGTATAATTTTTGACGGAATAAACAAAAATAACCAAAAAATGCTATCTTTGTATAGTTGGATTTGTTTCTTCATAATGTATCCTGATTTGTAAAGGAACTATAGCCTAAGTTACATGGATCATTTCTTTTCTCAATTTACCAAAAAACTGCATTAAGAATTTCTCAGGTTCTTTACATAAATTCAAAATTAGCAAAAAACTTTGTACGAATACTCATATACACCTGTATTGGCTACACTCCGAAGAACGAGTCCGTGTAACATAGACTACTGCTAAGTGTAGGGGTGGATGGCGTGTTGTGTTGCTTGGTTCGTCTAAATCCAGTAATAAATTTATGTGTAAAAATGTATCAAAATTATAACAAATAATAGGTTTGAACCATAATTTTAAAAATAAAATAGGTTGAATGCTAAAAATTTGAAGGGGTCGTTTGATATTTGAGATACGAGATAATAATCTAAGAATTAGATGCAGGATATTTTACCTCGTGTTTGGTTGAATTTTTAAATTCGGGATTAGCAATCTTTGGATCAATTAATCCCAAAATTAGGTATTATTCTATCCACATTGAGGGTGAGATAATAATCCCGGGATAAACATTAAAATGGCAAAGATGCCCTTCTCCAAGGCTCTTCCCCCTAAGTCTTTTACACAATCCAAAGTTAAAATTAAAAATGAAAATTTATCCTAACTTATTTACTGTACACAAAATACATGTTTTGATTATACCCATATATTCCATTTTTAGTCAACATTTATCGATAAAAATATATTCACTAAATAATCCCGTTATTACTTAATCCTCGTATTATAGTCCCATTATTATAATCCCGAGATAACTTATTCTCCTGCCAAACGTTCCCTAAAGCAGGGGCGAATGCAGTAAGCGTGAAGCGGTGTCACATGACACCGCTTCGTCATAAATTTTTGTTAAATGTGTATATAAATAATCTGCAAAAATACCATTTAACATACTAAAATAATTAAGTGTGACACCACTTGTCATCAAGTTTTTTTCCGGCCAATTGGTGTAGCGCCTGATTTCCTTAAGCAAGGTGGCGGGATCGAACACCATTTATGGGGTTTATTTTTTTTATTTTTTTTGAGGATTTGGACTGGAAAAAAAGAAGGGCAAGAGAATGTATCTCTTGTTACTTTTTCATTGTTTCGTTCTGTTACTTTTTTTTAAAAAAAAAATTCTTAAAATAGTTTTACTTTATGAGTGTACTCTATAAAAATATTCGGAGGTTCTCAAATTAATATTTTTATTTATAATTCAACTTACATTCAATAGATTATCCTAAAGCATCTTTCAAACTTTCAAATCAAGTTCAAAATCTCAAAATTCATCTAACTTGGAAGAAAGGGTCAATAGTCGGAGCAACAACGACAAATTAAACGAGTTAATTTAAATTCCTTAAAAGTTGACACTGAAAAAAGATTGACAACTCAAAAATATTATTGTAATAACCATGATGAAATAAAAAGAACATATCTTCAAAAAAGTCTTTTCCAACCTCGAAATCACAATTTTTCTTAAAGAAATTTATGATAAATTTGTCGCTTTGATCTTCAAAGGTTTGCTAAGTATAATAGGTTGGAGTATAATGTAACTGAATATGTGACTTTTGCTTCTATTCTTACTTGATTCAAAATGAATGCATTAATCAAGGGGAGGAGTTATATTTTAAGTATAAGGTTTATACCCGGGCGGATGTACCAAGGTTGAAGTGGTGTCGAATATGTCATTTCTTACTTCTTTAAATGTGACACCGCTTACAAAAAAATCTTGCGTATACCGCTGGTTATAAGTGTTTTTTTTTTATGTATAAGAATATACTTAATATTTCTTTATGGTCTCTATTAGCATTAGAAGGTTCTCAAGGATATTTAGTTTATCACCTAAATTATTAGGAGATAGTTGCACCAATCTTAGAAAATTTTGCTGAAAAACTAGTAAGGAATTTGGTGAAGTGATTTATCCAAATTAAGATATGCCAGTCAATTGTTGTGAAGAAGATAGATAATAGCTAATCCATCAATTAGAAGCTTTCCTTTTGTTTATCATCTTTTTCAGTAAAAAATTAAAGCTCTTTCATTTTCAACTAAAGAAAAAGGTTTAAGAAAAGAAATTGGGCGTTGACCTCAAATAGCATTTGATTCCTGCAGATCTATCTTGGCTTATTGCATTGGCAAAAAAGGGGCTCGATTTCCCAATCAATCGGCTAAGGTTTCGTAATTTCGTTCTGTTCGAAAAACCTGTTTACTTAGACTTTTGTTTTCTTTCCAGAAAACCATGGCCGTCTATATATGGTAGTTGACTTTTGCCCCTCTGTATTATCCTGCATTCAAGATAGTCAAAGTCAACTCCTGCCATTGTAATAAATTTTATTTTCATTTATTATAATCGTGTTAAATTTTTTACACTATCAGTGTATATTAACCAGTCAGAAGTATTTTTATTTTACCAAATCAGGATAAGTATAAATAGTTAAAATGATACTATATAGCCGCAATATTTTTGTATATATATACATTTATGTATGTTATTTACAAAAAATATACTCTTTCCGTTTCAATTTATGTGAACCTATTTCCTTTTTAGTCCGTGCCAAAAAGAATGACCTCTTTCCTTATTTGGAAACAATTTACCTTTATGCAATGATTTATAGCTACACAAAATATATGTGCCTCATTTTATACCACAAGTTCAAAAGTTTTCTCTCTTTTCTTAAATTTCGTATCCAGTCAAATGTGTTCACATAAATTGAAACAGAGGGAGTATAAATTTTATACACTTTTGCGGCTATTGAACGTAAATAATTTTGGCCTCGGGTTAAAAGTAATCTTTGCTCCTATGCATAGCCACATGCTGTTGTAGCTCATCTTAATCCAATAGTGTAAAAAAATCTTAATCAGGCACAAAAGTTAGACTTACTATATTTTCCATATTAATTACCAATGGTTTTAATTTATACATACTACTAATAAATTGCGAGTAAACTTTCTTATTTTCTAAGTTACTCATCCCACTTTTATGAGTAGCTACACTAAATATCTTTGAGGAAATATAAAAATGCAAGTATATAGGAGTTAAATCATTTAGCAAGATATTATTTCTACTGATAAAAGGGATAAACATAAAAAACGAAAGGCAATAAAAAAGGTTAATAGAGTCACGTAACGTGAAGTACTTGGCCATAAATTTGTTGGTGGCAGGTCGTTCACCGAACCCTTAACCAGCTACATGATCACAACCCCATGTTCCATTTATGAGTTGTTATACTAATTCTTAACTAAATTTTTGCAACCAAAAAACAAAAACAAAAGCACATATACATCTCCATAAGTACAACTTTCCAATCCTTTCTCACTTCCCTTTTATCTGTTTTTCTATTTCTGCACTACTAGCTACTTTTTTCTCAACTAATCTCATTTACTTCATTTCACCACCCCTTAGCTTCCTTCATTCAATGCTTGAATTTAAAGAGCAGCTCCTTTTCTCTGCAGAAATTAGTTGGGGAGCTTTTCATCCCAACCCCCTAACCCCCACCATCCCTCATTTGTATTTTTCCTTTTGATTGCCCACTGTTAAGTTTTGGCTATAGTGGTTTTACTTGATGTCCTTTTGCTACAAATCTTGAATATAGCTTTTTTTTTTTTATATGCATTTATTGTGTTTGCCAGAGAGAAAAAAATTAGATGGTGAAATCCAAGATACAGTCTGGCTCTTAGTTATTGCTCCTCAATTCTACTTCAACTACTACTATTATTTTCCTCCCCTATAAATTCCCTTTTATTCTCCTTTTCTTTTGTTAAATCTCATAGTACTATCTACTCCATTGGCCGTCTTTTTTTCTTCTTAATTTATATGCTTCATTCTCTCAAAACATGGACATTGCCATAGCTTTACTCTTGTTCACTGCCATAACTTGTTATCTTCTATGGTTCACCTTCATCTCAAGATCTCTCAAGGGTCCACGTGTCTGGCCCTTATTGGGCAGCTTACCGGGCTTGATCGAGAACTCCGAGCGTATGCATGACTGGATTGTGGACAACCTCCGCGCGTGTGGTGGCACGTACCAGACATGCATATGTGCTATCCCATTCTTGGCCCGGAAGCAAGGTCTCGTGACTGTCACGTGCGACCCGAAAAACTTGGAGCATATTTTGAAGACCCGATTCGAGAACTACCCGAAGGGTCCGACTTGGCAAGCCGTTTTCCATGAGCTGCTTGGCCAAGGAATTTTTAACTCTGATGGTGACACGTGGCTGTTTCAAAGGAAGACGGCGGCGCTTGAGTTCACGACTCGGACGCTCCGCCAAGCCATGGCTCGATGGGTCAACCGAGCCATTCAGCTTAGGTTCTGTCCAATTCTTAAGACGGCTCAGCTTGAAAACAAGCCTGTTGATTTACAAGATCTTTTACTTAGGCTCACTTTTGACAACATTTGCGGCTTGGCTTTTGGCAAGGACCCACAAACATTGGCACCCGGCTTGCCGGAGAATACCTTCGCTTCGGCTTTTGACCGGGCCACGGAGGCGTCGCTGCAGCGATTCATATTGCCAGAAGTTATATGGAAGCTGAAGAAATGGCTTGGGCTAGGAATGGAAGTCAGCTTGAACCGAAGCCTTGTACAGCTGGACAAATATATGTCTGACATCATAAATACACGTAAGCTTGAGCTGATGAGTCAGCAAAAAGATGGAAACCCTCATGATGACTTGTTATCAAGGTTCATGAAAAAGAAAGAATCCTACACGGACAAGTTCTTGCAACACGTGGCACTCAACTTCATCCTAGCTGGACGTGAC